AGATCAACTTGGAATTCAGCAACACACACGAGGATTTCCCAAGGAAGAGACACTGAGGTGAGCCAAAGCCTCAAATACTAGTTTACTTACTAAGTCCAGAACTTTTGTGATATGACGACAATAAGATGATATGAAACTGCAGATGATTGCCCAACTCTAGTGCCTCCCTGGTTGCCTGGCAGCCTCAGCTCCAGCCGTAAATTGAACTAAGCTAAGCACCTTCTGAGTGTAACATATCTTCTTGTCTAATTCTCTGCAAAAAAGCAAACAAGCTCATCTCCAAAATTATCTAATGTTCCTCTTAAGTAACTAAAATCCAAACCTACTTTTATTGTATTGTACTTTATGGCAAAGACTGATGTGTCATACAACCCATAGGCATCCAGAAGCCTGAAAAACCTCAGAAGTGTTTACAGTGGCAAGAAAAAGGGAATGAACCGCTTGGAATTATCTGCCATTATGTGTAAAGGTGTCCTGAAATATGGCCAAGTCTTCATCTAAGTTACAACAATGAACAAACACCGTCTGTAATACACATTGTATTGTCATTCAGACATTCACAGTGTCTGTCAGAAGTACAGTATGTGAACCCCTGAGCTAATGGCATCAGAGAAACATTGATGGCAACCATGAGATCTTAACCCAGACGGTATGCTATGTTATTGGATTTCTGTGCTAGTAATGGATTGGCCAGAACAAACACTGTTTGAACAAGGGTGGTCCCCTATCTGTGAGGTCTTTAACTCCCATCTCCGGAAGAGCCTCTCATGCACCCTGGGAGAGGCCATGTTCATTGTGGAGGTGGCAGGTGCCTGTTGTGCCGGCAACTCGAGAACCCAGTGGATTTTAGGCTAAAGAAGGAGACCTTTCGAGCATGGTTGACCTAGGGATCTCCTGAAGCAGCAGCTGGGTACCAACAAGCCATAAGAGCTGTGGCTACAGTGGTCATGGATGCAGAAACCCAGGAGTGGGAGGATTTTGGAAAGACTATGGAGAAGCATTTGGATTGGTCTGAAGGCTGTTCTGGAGAGCTATCAGATGACTCAGTTCAGGAAAGAGCAGGGCTTGGTGCAGGCTGTGTTCATCAGGACAGAAGAACTGCTGACTCAGACTGGGGATATCATCAGGTGGTGGAAATAACATTTTGAGGAATCCCCTGAGTAGGAGCCACAGTTTGAAATATTGGGAGGTCTCCTGCATCTTTGGCACAGGCCTCTGAGGTAGTTCAAAAGGTGTGGATGAGATTTGCCCCGAGATGTTGAAGGATCTGCACCTAGTGGGGGCATCTTGGGTGACCCAGCTCTTCAGTGTGGCATGGAGATCAGAAACAAAGGTAGTAGTTCCCAAATTTTAAACCGAGGATCCGAGTGTGTGTTCCTATTATTGTGGTATCACACAGCTTAGCCTCCCCTGTAAAGCTTATGCCAGGATGCTGGACAGTATGTTCCGACTGATTGTCAAACCTCATATCCAAGGAGGACCATGAGGGTTCTGCTCTGGCAGGAAAAAGGAGGCTGCCCAGGAGAGCCACGAGTGAGGATACAAGAATTCATCCTTCATGGAATTCTTTATGAACCAACACATCCCTTTATTCGAAACCAGTCAGTGATTGGTTACTTCAGATGAAGGCGGAAAGGATATTTCATGTCTCTTAAATGTTCCATTGATTCCTCTCCTTGTACTTTTTCCCTTGCATCTTTTTCTCACAACTTATATGGGTGAAACAAAGATGCAAGTCAGGAAACGTATGCAATTAAGGGAACTTGCATTGCTGAACCTCGTGGTTCAACAACCCGACTCTGGATAAGTGAGTTAAAAATGGATGGAGACAGCACTACATATGGTGTAAAAAGAGTGCTGCACAGAAACATACTGCACCATGATTTGGAGCTGCCTGTTGATCCAGGGAGCTTTTCATCGAGAGGAAAATCAGTTCTCACATTTTATTACTTCTTAAACACAATAGATGCTAGGTGGTGCAGCAGGACAGTGACCATAAACACAACACTGAAGTAAAGCAACTGCAGAATAACTTCCACCTACTGGAGTTGCCCATTCACAGCCCAGACCCATTAGAGATGATGTCAGATGAACTTGGAGAACATTTCACACCAGACATCCTGAGAATACGGATAGGCTTAAACCCCCTCCTGAAGGTAGTGGTAATTTGATCCATGGCTACAGAAAACTTTTGAGGTTATTCAATCCAAGGGTTCACTTGGATGAAGATCTGATCACATTTTATGACCAATTAATGCAAGAAAAAGTGGTGATTCGAAAAGTTTCACATCCTTTTTGTTGCCACTCTATTTGTAGGTATCACCTGACAAAACATTGTAAGTGGGGTCAATGACAAGGAAATGGGCCATTCTATAAAAACAGTTTTATTGATTTTATTAACTGTACATTTCTTTTTAGTGCTGACAGCATTTGCTACATACTTTGGTGTGATTCAGAGGGACTAGTGCATTTTTCCTCTTGTATTCTTGTGGGAAATACTAACAATCAGAAGCACAGTGTCCAAACCTGAAGTACTCACTTTTGTCTTAACATCAACATTATGGGACACGATTTACTAATTTGTGTATATTGGTTGCATTTACATTTAAGTGCCATTCCCTACAGGCACTGAGCATTTCTTATAAAGGCAGACTGCTCTGTGCAATGAATCGGGTCAAACATCTGCCTGCCTTCCCCTCTGCAGCCAACTAAACATGTTCCAGGAATACTGATAAGATACAAAGGGCAGAAGGATTCCAATAGCACTGATTGGACTGTTTGAGTTTAGTCTGTAGCCAGGAAATCAGTGGTGCAATTTGAACATCAGTATTATGTCAGGTTAGCAAAAAGCACATTGTCATTCAGTTTGTGCCTGCCGCAGTGCCTCTTCTGCCAACTGAGGTCCAAGGGTTAAGCTAAACATTAAACAGCTCCCATAATCTAACAAGGCAACACACACAGGGAGAAAG